CCAGAGATAAGATGACTCTTAACAAGGCAGTAGCCAGGCACAGCAGCACCCATCTGTGATCCAGCATTCTGGGATGTGGAGGCAGGAGAATCCAGCTTGGGCAATTTAGAGAGACCCCGTCTCAAAATAAGAAAAGTCTGAGAATGAAGTTCAGTGAAGGCCTTGGGTTCAACCCCCAGTACCTCAGAAAAATAAGAGAACAACAAATGAAAGTAGTCAATTTAAAAAGTCTCTTGGAAACCAAGCACATCCCTGCCCCTTGTGCCCTCACCCAGCCTAGCTGGGTGGGGCCCCTCCTGGGGACCGGGAGGTGAGGGATTCCTGCCAGGCTCTTCCAACTTCTGGCAAGTTTAGAGGGAGGGTGGCCTCTCTGGGAGGCTCAGGACCAGATCCCAGGCATTTTAATGTTTGTCTTCATAGTGGGGTAGGGTGGCGAGTATCTGTAATCGTATCACTCGAGAGGCTGAGGCAGGAGGATGACTGTGAGCTGAGGCATGCCTGAGTTACACAAGCAAGTTCAAGGCCAGCCTGCACTACATAGTGAGATCTTGTCTCAAGAAGAAAAGAAAAGAAAAGAAAAGAAAAGAAAAGAAAAGAAAAGAAAAGAAAAGATCTTAGTCTTCATATCCCGGGGAGACACACAGGAGGGAGGAGTTTGGCTGGCCCTGCGCTGATCATCTTCCCAAAATAAAAGGAAAGTCCAGAGGGCCCGTCCACAATACTGCCTTCACGGGGTACGTCTGGGTGTTGATTTTCTTTTCTCCTATTTATGAGAAACATTAGGGAACTTTCATGTGAATGAGGGAGGAGCAGAGAGGCTCTGCCTGTGGGGAGCATGGTACAGAACCTGCTGCTGGCCAGCTGCTGTCCCCTGAGGACAGTGGGGCATCGAGGGCGTCCCAGTCCTTCCCCACCACCTACATGTTGGAGACCCTATCCATAGCTAATGTAAGGCCTGCTCATGATCATGTGAATCCAAGTTACTGATGCTGGGATAACTTTTGGTATCTGGGACAAATGTCCCTGCCCAACCCTTACCTGCAGACCTATCTACAGAGAGAAGAGCAGGTGCCGACCACCATCCTTGTGCTCATTCCTGCTTCCAGCAGTGAGCAGGGGGCCTGGGAGGTTGGTTCTTGGCTGGCTTCTGGGGAAGGAAAAATATCCAGGAGGAACTGCAGAGCCACGAAGCTTGAGCATCCCCTAAAAGAGTGTGAGAGAACTCAGCTTCCACATGTCCTGGGGCCCCTGGACAGCCCGTTTACACACACTGCCTTAGTGCAGCACATCTGGCTGCTGTCACTGCCTCTGTGGTGTGGTGGCAAGGGTGGCCCACAGTTTGTTGTCTCTGTAGGTGCCACAGTGTGAGGGACCTGCAGGTCACACAGCTTCTGGCCACAGATTAGCTAGGAGCAGCAATGGGAGAGAGGGTGCAAGGACCCCTAATTTCCCTCCCCAACGAAGCTTAGTCTCATGAACAACAGGGTGAAGTCAAATGCTTTGGTTACGCTTCTTTAGTTTTCTTGGTGGTAGCACTGGGGATCCAATCCATGGCCTTGCCTATTCGGCAAGAGTTTTGTCGCTGAGCAGTGTCCCATCCAGCAACTCCTCCTCTTTCTGTTTTGAGCAGAGTCTCATTAAGCTGTCCAAGCTACCCCAAGCCTGGAACCTTCTGCCTCAGCCCCTGGAGTAGCTGATGTATGTCTCCACGCCCGACTGCGAAGGTTACAATCCTGATGTCAAGAGGGAGGACAGTGAAGTCTGAAGTGCTTTACTGTGTTTTGTGGTTTATTTATTTCTCACCAGAGCAGCTGCTTTGGGCCCGGCCTCTTGCCTTCTGACCTTTGCTGGGACATGCTCACTTTGAGAATCCTAGAGACCTTCAGGCCCACCCCACCCAGCATTAATAAGAGAAGTGATAGCCCCAGTAGTGGGTGGTGGAGCAGCACCCAGGCAGCTGGGGGTACAGTCCTCCCGCACCCCTTCTGAGGTGTGAGGAAGATTTCAGGAGCAAGGTGGATTGCAGGGAGGATTTAGAGTGGCTTCCCCCCACATCCTGGCTCACCAGGAGGTAAAGTGTGTTCCTGTGCTCTAGGTTGAGTGACAGCGTGCCATCAGGTGAGCCATAGAGGGCTTGGTGGAGGTGGACCTGCCCACGGCCCAGGTCAATAGGGCTGCTTATGTGTCCACACTGGGCTCTGCCTCCTTGTACCCTGGCTGCCATCCAGGTGTGCCAAGGGAGGGGGAGGGAAGGGGTGCCACAGCTGGTAAAGCTGGGTGCTGAGTGGCAGGGCTAAGCTATGCAAGGGCAAGGGGTGGGGGAGTCTTCCATATCTCAGAGGATTGACATTAATTACCACTGTGACTGCTTTCTCTGTGTAACTGTTTTCCCCGCACTTTTAGCCCTCTAATATGGAGCTAACGACGGAGGCTCCCACCCCCTCCCTCCAGATGTCCCAGCCTGTGAAAATGTGGCCGCCTTCCAGCTTTCTGGTGACAGGGACCTGTGTGACAATCAGGAAGGCCAAAAGCTTGGAGACTTCCTAGGGCTTGATCTGATATCACTCCACGCAGCTGATAATTATAAGGCTCCTTTCCTCCTGGCTCTCCACACCCCCAGTAAACACCATGGAGTTATTTATAAATGTGGGCCCCTGGGTGCACTGCTCTAGGGGGATGGCGCTGAGAGCACACTCTGTTAAAGAAGAGCCACAACACATAGAAGGCACAGGATCTCAGCAAGGCGATGGATACCAGTGGCCCCCAGCAGCTGTGGTCTGGGGCAGGGGCTATTGTCCCGGTTCAATTTTCTGCAGCCTGCAGACCATCTTAGATGGGTAACAAGCCAGCCAGCCCCATTGTCTTGCATGTTGGGTGGAGCTAAGAGATGAGCTGCTCTTTTCCTTTCCAGAGTTGGCAGGAACTGGAAATAATTGAAAGTTGTTAGGGGCCTCGCACACTGCCCTGAAAACACTATCATTACTCTCCTAATAACTAAGTGTGTCTTCCAGGAGGAGATGCAGGCAGCTGAGAGGCTGCAGCCTCCTGGAGAGGTAAGAGGGGGAGGCTGGCAACTTGCAACCTAGGGGCAGGAAGGCAGGAGAGCTCACCCAGCTCTGGTCCCCAGGGTCCCTGTGCCCTCTGCCCCAGAGCAGGGCCATGTAGTCTGAGTGCTATGGGAGAATCTGCCTCCAGTCCTTCCTGCTCGCTCCCCAGCAAAGTTCCAATCCACCTCCCAGGATGGCAATCTCCCACCAGGTCTCCTGCTCCCATGCCCTCCTCCCCAAGCACAGTTAGCCTTGAGACTTCTGCTGGAGCTCTGTCTGCTGCCCTCCAGGTGCCCTGGACAGGAGACCACAACCCTGCCTGCCACTTCTTTGCAGCCTCTGGGGAAGAGCTCCCCATATTCATTCTCATATCATCCAGGCCCCATTTTTTCTAAGGTTGTCTTTGAATTGCATAGGTGACATTTAAAGGCCAATGAGAGTGCATCCCTTCCTCATCCATCCCAGCAACTGATGCTGGTCTTGTGCAACCCACAACTTTCTCCTACGGGTGGACCCTGGGTCAGCAGTCCCTGGTCCCTGCTTACTTCTAGGGGTGACCATGTACCTCATGGGGATGGTGAAGAGGCTCTAGGCCTACAGAGACCTGTGAGTCTCCACAACAGAGATCCTAGTGGTGACCTTTAGACTTTGGTCAGCAGCAGTGGGAAGACTTCCAGTAGTTCACTGAGGCTCGAGGGAAGAGGGAGTGGCAAAAAGCACAAGACTCTGCTGGTGGGTTACGGTTCCAAAGTGAACTCTTGTGGATGCCAGGTGTTGGGGGTCTCAGGGCTGGGTGGGAGATGTGTGGGCTCAGCTTGAATCCCACCTGCAACCTGCCTCTGCCCCCTGCTCGCCTGGCTGCAAAGGAGCAGAAGTGGCTTTCCCCTTAGACTCCTCTGAAGGTGCCTGGCACTGTTGCCTGCCAGGTCTAGGGGAGCCCTGTGAACTGCCTCTCCTTAGGGCCACATGTGGAAGATTCAGCCCACAAGACATGCTGTGGTGCTAAGTCCCCATTGGCCTACAGATGTCTGGTGACCTGGCTGACCCTTTGTTCAAGGCTTTAGGAAGCCAGCAAAGTTGACCCATGGCTTCAGGGCCAAAGCCTGGTAAGGTCAGGACTTAGGCCCCTACTGCTGGCAATACTGTGACCTGTCTCACTGCCTTTGGTGCTGAGCCTTTAGCTTTACTGAGACCAGACTACAGTCACAGATGATGTGGGGAGCTGGATGGACACGACTAAAATAAGAGCGGAGCAAAGGACATGGCAGGAAACAAGACAAAGGATAGTGAATCAGAAACCACCAAGACATTCTGTCCCCACAGGACAGAGTCGGCAGCTAGTCTTCGACTGGGATCGCCACTGTCCCTGAGGACAGGAGCGCCTGCAGCTGCAGCGGGTGGGTACTCAGAGCATGAGGGCACAGGTGCACCAGGGCAGGGCGAGGTGGGTGTGGGGTGCCAAGTTAGGGAGGCCCGCCCCACCTCCACTTAGCCCCACCCGGCCCCGCCCCGTCCTGGCCCCGCCCCTCAGACTAACTCCACCTCTCTTCTGCTCTGGCCCCGCCCAACCAGCTTCTGCCCACACGATGTGGCCACGCCCACATGGCCCCGCCCCCGACCGGCAATCCACCCAGGTCACGCCCCCCTTAAGGCCTCTGGTCTATCCGGGGCCCCGCCCTAGTTCTGGTCTCCTCAGAGCTCTTGACAGTCCCGCGCGACGCCCCGCCTCCCACCTCACAGTGTGGGGCTTTATCTCTGACCACCAAGAGGGCTAGATCCCCAGGCCCGCGGCCCCGCCCCTGCCCCTCGAAGCTAATTGGTTTCCTCCTGAGAACTTTCCGGCTTCCGATTGGCCCACGATGCCCGCTTTCGTGGGCCCTGCCCTTGGGCAGAGGCGGGGCCAGCGATGGCGGCCGTTCTCGGATTGGTCAGAGGCGCCAGGGGGCGGGTCGCGCCGCTTGCACCGCTCGGGCTGGAGCGCGAGGCTCCTCTGTCGTCGCCTCAGCCCTCAGACGCGGTGCCTCGGCTTGGTCGCTTCCGCCTCGCGCCCCGCCCGGCCTCAGTCGCGGCCCAGAGCTGCGCTCACCGTCCACCGCGGGACAGGTGAGTGCGTGGCCGCGGGCTGGGGCCCGGGTCCTCAGGAGCGGCCGCGGGACCGGGTGGTCCGGGGAGAACTTTGCCGGGCGTCCCTTAAGGTGGCGGGGTCGCGGCCGGCGGACCCTGGGAAGGCGCGGCGGGGACCCGGACGACCCATCCCCGTCCGGAGCCACCCGCTCGCCCGCCGGAGCCCGGGGCTCACGGGCCGTGGACCGTGGACGGCGCCGGGGTCACCGCCGCGCGCCTGAGGGAGGCCCGGAGTGCTTTGCCCGCCGCGCTCCCCGCGCTCCCGCTCGGCCCCGAGACGCCGGTTACTCCTCCGGGCGGGGGCGCCCGACGTGTTCCTCTCCGTCCCCACAGTGCGCAGCTCTCGGGGACTGCTCAGGGAACTGTTTAGTTTTCCTTTTGGCCTGCGGTGTTTTCTCTTTTCACTGCTCCGTAGCACTGTACTTTCGTGGGAAACTGGAAAGTTAATTGAAGTTGGGTCGCGGCCCTGGGTGCCTTCCCTGGCTTCCTAGCGCCACCGCGGCCTGAGGTCGTGGGAGTTCCGCGCGTGGGACGCCGGCCCGTCCGCTCCCGGGCGTGCAGAGTCCCCCGGTCCCAGCTGCTTTTCAGGCACAGGGCCTGGCACCCCTCACGCTGGGTTTGGCGGCTGCAGTTCTTCCGACGTCGTCCTCAGAGCTGGGCCTTGAAGGGTCTTGTAGGCGCTTCCTTGTCTTGACTCCAGTCTCGACTTACAAGAGAGCAGCTCATCACCTGAGCATCTCAGTAAAGGCGTTTTGGCCCAGAACGGTTCACTGCAAAGGAACATCGAATCTTAAATCGGCTGGAGAAGTTCCTGGAGATGTCGTCAGACGAGAGCGGTGTCAGCAGGCAGATACTAACGCACTTGCTGACCAGCTAGGTCGTCTGCATCAAACAGTGCTGTTTCTGTTTGTGTGTAGATGTTCCGTTCAAACAATGCAAGTCCAGTGCATGTTTTGGAATTTATATAACAATTTCTTTTTTAGTCAATTAATAGTATTAGAAGGTTTTGAAAAAGGTTTGGTAGTAAATGGGTCTTTATAGTTGAAAAAATTGGCCACACTATCTTAAAATTCTGAGCTCTGTTTCTGGTATTACAGGTAGTACTAGTTAAGGATAATACTGAATGTGACTTTACCAGATTCTGTATTAATACTAAGAAGTGATCGTTTTCCTTGTTGGAGAGAGCCTAAGCACATACTGCATTTATAAATTTGAAAAGTCTCACGCGGACCTTGAAACAATCAACTGCCCAAAGCTAGGTGCTGTGTAGCAGTCTCAGTGAGTTCTGTACTTGGACGTGCAGCCCTGTGTTCGTGGTGAAGCCTTTTGGTTTTCTCAGAAATCTCGAAGTTTAATTATAAAGGTGATCACTGAAGCATTTTGGTAGATGGAAGTTGTTCATCCCATTGGTGAAGAAGGCTGGTGGTTTGAAGCATGACAAAATCACTTGCACGCGTGTCGGAATTGCCCCATCCTACACTGCGTGAACACTAGATTTTGGGTAGCTGTCAAGTCAACTCCCAGCCTCAGCAAGGGAACGCACGGGCAGCTGCGTCCCGCTGTCCATGGTGCTGAACCTGCACTGTCCAGTTCTCTGTGTGGAGAATGTTTTCTCCCTTCCAACGTCCTTTCCAATGTGAAAGTGATTTTTTTGCAGTATGCTTTAAAATTAATTTCAGAATTCACATTTTAAAAGTTCAATCTGAATGTAAGCATATCTTTAAGACATTCAAACCATATCACTATTTAAAAAAAAAAAACAAAAAACAAAAAACCAGAGAATTGTGCTGGCTCAGCATTTCCTTTCTTCCACTTAGTCTTTCTTTCCAGGTGGGAGTTTTCTTGCTGGAGTATGAACATCAAGTAACAAAGCATGGACATTAACTGAAATGGTTTTGTTAATAATCACCCTCTAACAAAATAACTATTACAACTATTATGCATGTGTATCTGCATGCAAGGGCAGTTTGTCCCTAAACAGTGCCACTTACAGCAACCACACACCTCCAGGCCTTTCCTGGAGTGAGGCTGTGTGGTGGGCTGTTGGTGGTTGCTAGGCATTCTTGTTATGTTAGAGCAACATTTACTGTCTCGTTTAATTTTGAAGAGTGTAAATCATTTCAGATAAACACTTTATTTTCCTTGGGGTTAATTTTATCAGTTATTCTAGAATTGCCTCAAAGGTTAGCAATACAGTATAATGCTGGACGTCACTTATGGTACAGAGATTCTTCCATATGATAGTAAATGTGCACCAAGTTAAGCTTTGAATTGTTGAGATGCTTTGGTATGATCATTTGAACTAGTTCTAAGGGCACCTTGGGGAAGTCTTCTTCTGGTTCACACAGTTCCAAGAATACCCTCTCAGTGCCTATTCTCTGCCAGGCCCTGGACTAAGATCTGGTACCCTCAGAAAGTGAGACCAATTTCTTATTATTAAAGGGCCCTCCAGTTCAGGCTGAGGAAGGAGATGTAAACAGACAGTTGCAGGGGGCCATGTAGTATGTGCAGTCAGGATACACAAAAAGCCTGGTGAGTCTGTTGAGGGAAGCATTCATTAGACTTGGGATCAGAGAAAGCTTCAGAGAGGAGGTAGCCTTTGAATTGAACCCTTGAGATGGTTTTAATTGTTTTGGCACAGAGAGGTATAAATTGATTAGAAGCAGATGAGAAGATTAGTAACTGGAGAACAGTGTGTGTGTAGTCTGGTGGCTGAAGGTGTGTTTATGGGGCATTGTTAAGGAGTGGGGATGTGGTGAAGAGGAGAGGTTGTATGGTAGGTTGGGTGATAGCTTTCCAAGTATTCACTTCCTAATCCCAAGTACTTGTGTTAGGTTACATAGCAAGAAGAGTTAAGGTAACTGGTAAAGGGCTGCTGATTTTAAAATAGGAATGATCTTGCATGACCTAGGTGGGCATAAAGTAATTATAAGGGTCCTCAAATGGAGGTGGGAGGCAGAAAAGTGAGAGTCAGAGTGATTTGAGGTGAGAGGAATCTAGCCATGGTTTCTGGCTTCAAAGGTGGAAGAGGGTTACAAGCCAGGGAACATGGGCAGCCTCGGGAAAAGGCAAGAAAATTAATTTTTCCCTAGCAGTTCCAGAGAGGAGCTTATTCACTGATTCTCAGTTAGGGAGATGTCTGGCTGTGACCACCAGAACTGTAAGAGAAAAGATATTAGTTGTGTTAAACTACTAAGGTTGAGGAAGTTAGTTGCAGTAGCAACAGGAAACTGATACAAGTTGGGGCTCTGTTCTGTGCAGTCTGATGTGGATAGTTCAAAGGAGGAAAAGAGATGATTACACTGGCTTTAGAAGTTAAAATGGTACACTGTTATTTGGTGGCACTTGCCCAGGTAAATATGGTTGGATTCCCAATTTACCTCCTGGGCAAGGCTGGCATCTGATGCTATTGTATGTGACTTTCACTTCCAGCTTTCCGCTGGCAGTGCTCAGCCTCCACCATAGGTTGTCACATCACAGTGACTCTCTTTTCCTCTGTGTTGCTGGGGTAGAGAGCCAGGTGTGTACCCTGGGATTGTGGAGTCACAACCTCCTTGTTGTAGTCAAATTCTTCACGTAGTCACGAATCTTTTGAATCTTTAGGTGTTTTAATTGTATCAATCTTGTAGGTATGAAATAATTCTGTTTTAATTTGCATGTTCTTGATTACTAGTGCATTTGAGGATTTTTTAACCCATTTTTTGGCTACTTGGGTTTCCTTTCATATACACTGTAATCTTATATTGTATTCCACTGGTTGTTTGGGTTGTACTTTTTGTAGTTTTTTAGAAGTTTTTATGTATTCTGGATTCTGTTTTTGTGACCTATTCTTTATCATTTTGAAAATACCATTTCAATGAACAGATGTTAATTTTAATGTAGTCAGCTTTATCAAACTTTTCCTTTTGGTTTGTGGTTATTGTTGAGAAGTCTCATGTTCCTTTAAGGTCATAAGATACTCTCATCTTTAAAAAGTTTAAGTATTGGTTTTTATATTTTATTTGGAACTTTTTTTTTTTTTTTTTTTTTTTTTTTTGGTACCAAGGATCGAACTCACGACTATGCGTTTGCAAGGCAGGCACTTATGCCGCTGAGCTAAATTACTAGCTCCATTTGCTTTTTTTTTTTTTATTGGTACTGGGGACCGAATTCACGACCACATGCTTGCAAGGCAGGCGCTTATGGGAACTTATTTTTTATGAAGTGTGAGGTAGAAATCATTTTAGAATGTTTCCCAATCCCTCACCAGTTGTACCATTGCCACTTATTGAGAACTGTCTTTTCCCTAGTGCTTTGCAATGCTATCAAAATTCACGAATGGTATGGATCAGTTTCCTGTTTCTCCATGTACATAGTGATAATTTAATTTCTTTCTTCCTAGTCCTTATATCTTTTATTTATTAATCTTACTTTATTTGGACTACTAGAAAATTTGCATATTAGTTGGATAAGATTATCCTTGTACTGTTTTTCATTTAAAAAGAATCTTTAGAAAGCTTTAATTACTAACTTCGTTGTTGTGTTTTGATAGATTTCTTTTGGTTACAGATGGTCTCATTTAATAGTTTGATAAAAGCTTTGTAAAAATAATAAATTTTTGTTTTTGTCAAATGTTTTTCTATTTATTTAGATAAATTAATGTTTTTCTTTTTTAAACTCTGACTGAAATGAATATCTTAATTTTTAAACTTTAAGCTACCATGATTTCTTGGCATAAACTCTGTTTTGTCATTAGATACTACATTAAATAACACTATTTGATGCAATATGCTAGCATTTCATTAGGACTGGCATACATGTTCATAAGGGGCACTGGCCAGTGATGATCTTTTCCTGTGTTTCCTTATTTAGATTTGGTGCCAAGGTTTTCCTTCCTCTTTTGTATGACAGTTTTGTAAAGGAGGATATTTTGTCCCCTGGAAATTTGGCTAAATTACTTCTTGACTAGCACAAGTATGGGTCCTTTTAGAGTGTAGAGA